TGATTTAAACTGAAACGATATCAATGTCGTCAAGATTGTACTGAAACGATATGGATATCGTTATGTATCAAATCCACAAAATAACATAACGACGTCCATATCGTTTCAGTACAAATTTGACGAGTTTGAAATCGTTCCAGTTCAAATCATAACTATAACGACGTAAATATCATTTTCTTTCATAATAAAAGATAATTATATCGTTCTGGCTAAAAAACAACTATTCGACCGTCCTAGTAACCTAGCATGTCTTCAACATACGTAAGACGATCGAAAGAGATCATCAAATGGGTTGATACCACTCAAATGGTTTAGAAGGAGCGAACGAAGATACTTTCTTTTCACGGAATAGTTTGAAGGTAGTACATAATTATAGAAACACAAATGTTCTCATAGTTTCTTTTGAGTGAGATCAAACTCATTTAATGACCTATTTCGATTATCTTACATATCTCAATGCATGTCGTGTGGTCGCGAACAGTTGAATTGTCATTTTTAGCAGAAATGATACAATTATCATTTTATATAAACTAAAACAATATATATGTCATTTTAGTTACGATTTAAAATGAAAAGATAATGATATCATTATGTATCAAACTCATGAAATAACATAATGACATTCATACCGTTTTAGTACAAATTTGACGAGTTTAAAATCGGTCTAGTTCAAATTATAATTACAATGACATATATATCATTTATTTTCATATAAAAAGATAATTATATCGTTTTGGCTAAAAATTGTAATGATTTGAACTGAAATGATACCAATTCGTCAAAATTATACTGAAACGATATGAATATCGTTATGTTATTTCATGGGTTTGATATATAACGATATCAATATTGTTATTAAAGAAAACGATATCTATGTCGTTTTAGTTATGATTTGGACTCAAACGATTTCAATCTTGTCAAATATACGGATATCGTTATGTTATTTCGTGAGTTTGATTATGATTTGTTGTCTATTTTTAAAATTGCATGAGAAAAGGTCTATGTTGAACGAATGACGAAAGTTTGGGGACCGTTAACCCAAAGAAAATTTGGTTGCGTGTGCACCTCTAAGTTATTTACTACCCGAGAGCAAATGATCCCCTGGATGCACACGCTACAACCACCTATGTCGCGTGCGCTGTGTAAGTTTTTTGATATAACGACTTCTATATTATTTTATTAATCTATAACGAATTCAATGTCGTTATAAAAATCTGTAAAGTAATATATTTTTTATACTGGAACAACATCAATGTCGTTTGTGTCTCAAAAACGATTTCCATGTTATATGAATAAGTGTAATTTCCGTACTAAACGACATCAATATCTTTTTGTGTGTCAAGAACAATTTCAATGTCAGTTATGTGAATCATTGCATTCATACTAGAATGACATATTTGTCAGTTATAACGATATAAAAGTCGCTTGTCTGTAATGTGAAAAAAATAACATAACAATGTAAAATAACTTTAATTTTGTTTCAATAGTACAAAAGCGATAATAGCAAAATGATTACAAAATCTAATAAATCGTTTTGTGCTTCTAATAAGTACAAAATAATAAAGATATAAGTCACTACAATATTACAATTTTAAGTTTCATTACCAGTTTGGCCCGTACAAAAGGAACGAACATGACCAGTTTTCTTGCAGTTGGAGCCGTGGACATTATAGGGACAAGAATTGATATCTCCATTTTGCATATATTGTACCGACCTTCAACTTATCTTAAGTTCACACAAGAAATTGTTTTCAAAATAAGAATAAGCATTATTTCCCTTTGCCATTCCCTACATATTTTCATTTTCATGCACCTTCAACTGACTGCTAACATTCAACTAGATAACAAACTGATATCCACATGATATTCGCTTTGTCCATAACTATAATTCAACATAAAAATTTTAAAATTTCATCAAATATCAAACTTTCGTACAGTACTGGATATGTATGTTGTTATGGATTGCAAAAGATGATATGTAAGTCGTTTTGTAAAGCAGAAAATCAAATGTATATTTCACAGTAGAACAACAGATATAATAGTGTGTTTACTAATGTACATTTCACTTCAATTAATAGAAAAATAGGGTGGGAAGCAACCCATATCAAAACTCTAATCCAATGATAAAATGAATTCAAAATNAAAACATTCCCTTACCAACTTATATTTCCCTCCAATTAATACAAATAAGGGGTAGTGAGAAAGGTTGGGAAGTAACCCATATCAAATCCCTAATCCAATGATAAAATGAATTCAAAATCATTATTGACAAAACTATATACACACATACAACTATATGAAGAAATTATTCAGAAAAATGAAAAAATAAAGTAGTCAAAATATAGAAAATTAACAATATATTATCTTCTCCTCCAAATGTTCAACTAGAATGTTATAAGTTTTGCATATAAAATAAAAGGTTTTAAAGAGAATATTAGACAACAAGCTGGAATAGCTCAGTTGGTTAGAGCGTGTGGCTGTTAACCACAAGGTCGGAGGTTCAAGCCCTCCTTCTAGCGTTTATTCCCTTTTTGTATGGTTTATATAATTGCAACAAAGGTCCATAACCTTAATTATTATCAAATTTATGTCCATTAACAAAAAAGTGACACTTTCTGTCCAAAAGTTAAGATGATATAAAAAAACTTATTTATTTCTCGTATTTTTAAATTTAAAAAAATACGAAATTAAGACATGTATTCCTTATTTTATAGTACATATTTTGTGATAATGAATAAAGATTAAAGACCTGAATGTAATTAAAATATTATGTAATTGTATAAAA